TATTCTGTATGCCGAGTATGACAATATAGTGGAGATTGATTCCACGAGACAAGTTATTGTTGATTACAACAGCTAAGACGAGTAGTTCCAACCCAGGGGTCACCGAGAGCGGACGACTATGGCCGATCGAGAAGTGCCTCTCGGACCTAAACCCACACGAACAGCTTGTCCTTATTGCGGTACCGATATATTAACTAACATTATAAATATTGCCAATAGTAAAACACATATGATTGCTGTAGCCCTTTTTCTTCTCGGTTTTTGGTGCGTTGTACCCTGTGTATACTGCATCGAAAAATGTTTAACTCAACATCATTATTGTACCGTGTGTAAGGCTTATCTTGAGCGTTATCAGCACTGATGGTGCTGACATCTGCATTTTTTAATCAAAACCGAAGAACGTAATGGCAGGTGATCAGTCTACGAGAAACAGTGTCCGAGTGTGGAAGTACCATGGCTCCGAATAAACTGAAAGAAGTCCTTATTGACATACAAGGGTTGGTAGGGCCTAAGGAGACTTTTATTCCTAAAGAAATTGCCGTCTTTTCAGTTGAAGGAAATCATAGTGGCCACTGGCTGATTGCACCACCATGCGGAGCAAGCGATTTGGATTTTGATGCTCGTCGTCAAAATTTATGGTTAACCTCAAATTTCGACCGTTTAGAATGGGACTATGGCTACACACCCATAGAAGTCAGTGAGTCAAATTCTCAGACAGGCGACAAAAAATGTGGCTAGAATCTATGTGCGTGGACGTGAAAAATTAATGTTCTTACAAAGAATTTTATCGAGAACTGTAGTTCATTTAGAAGATTATGCGCCTAGTTTTAAATGTTTACTAGAAAATAAGCGTTTTTGTATTTATCACGCTGAATCTAATTTACATCGTGACTATGTCTGCGCTTGCCATAACGCAATTAAATTAAAGATTTGGATTAGACAATATTTATACAGGAAAAGTTAAGCTGAAGGATTCTGATATTAGTAAAATTTGGAGTGTCGATACATATCGCATCTCTCAAGTAACGGGCTATGAGCTAAGCAGTGACGACGAAAATTACAGTATTTCTGATAGCGACAGCGATAGTGCCGATACGATCTCGGAGGAAAATCTAACATCACCGCCAGTGCCGACGAGACTTCCGAAAGAGGGCCGTGACGTTCCCGGATCCGGGTGTAGGAAAAATACCACTACAGTCATTGTATGAATACCCGACAGTTACTTGCTGCTCTACCTGCGACCAACGTCACCATCGGAGGAGTATTTCTAGCGCATAACAATCCCTTGTGATGACCCGATCGCTAATAGCAATGATTCCAATCAACCAGGAACACATTGGGTCGCGATGTACGTTGACCATGAGGGAAAGGGAACGTACTTTAACAGCTATGGAGTTCCACCGAAAGATCGCAGATTTGCACGCTGTTTTAGAAGAAACTGTTGAAACTATAAATACAACCATAAACAACTCCAAAGCATCACAAGTAGCGTTTATGGCCACTATTGCGTTGTTGTTCTTCACTGGCTTAGTAATGGCTTATCTTTGTCGTCTTTCTTGCCAAAATTCTCAGATAATCGGGAACGTAACGATAAGTTAATTGTAAGAATGTTCAAGAAAATAATGAAGAATAAATCGGCCGCTAGCTTTAAGAGAAAAATTGTAAACCTATCCGGTAAAGGATCAATTATTTAAAAATGTGTGAATAAACAATTTAATATACTGTAAAATTTATTCGTTTATTTCATTTCAAATCTCGGAACCATCCCTTCTTCCTAACTTATTCCTTAAAGCTATAGTTATTTTCTTCCAAAACCCTCGTTTCTGTTCTGCGGCAGGGGGCATTGTCCCGTTGACCATTGTATGGATAACGTCATAATGACCCAAATGGGCTAGGCATAAGACTAGACCGGCAAAGGCATGGGGACCGCCCTCTTTAATGGTTGAAAACACTTCCTGGGACGTTTTCTCACTATGTAAATCGTTCTAAAATATGATTTGATTAAAAATTCAGAACAAAAAAAGAATGACGACTTGACATACCATCCAGTTTTTCAGATTACAATTGTAGTGATTAAATAATCTACGCCGAAACAATAACCGGAGAAGGGTGGGGATATAGACGTTACTTATAAGCAAGTCCCGACATTCGTCGATACGCTGTTGCTCAGAGTGTTCCATTCCGATCAACTCGATGGGCCTGACTACAATACCTGTCTACGGATTTGAATATTTCAACTCGCCGGAGGAAATACCAACATATTACATCACTATGGAAACAGAAATACGTCATGTGCTTTTTCATCCTCTTATCCACTCTGGTCTTCAGCGCTGCTGCACTAATTGTTTTCTGGATTATTTATGTTGATCAGAATTATTATAACGGCGGATTCATTGGAAATGTAACCGAAATATTGAATAAAACTCTGTAGAAAATGTAAAATTTGTACAAGTGTTTCATTGTCTATTGTTAACGCATTCCTAACATTAGACCCTTCCGGACAAGTGCTCCTAATTGCAGCTGTGTTTGCCTAAGGCCCGCCAGACGCTACCCCCTCCACGTTAGTCACTTGATACTAGTCATAGTCACCTAGTCACCTAGTTATAGTCACCTGATACTTGTTCTCGAATCTTTTACGATTTCCGCCTTTAACCCCCCCCCCTCCCCCTTTCTCTCCCTCCCCCTTTTACGAGTTTGGGGAAGGGCCAATACCAATCCCCGGAGGAAGAAAAGTGAAGGTCAGTACGGACAAAATCATTTTATTCGTAAGAGGAAAATGAATAACTTCCATTCGAAACATTTTTCTGTACCTCCCGGTTTTTGGAGAAGATAATTTGTGCACTAAAAATGGGAATTAATTTATTTACAACAAATTACTGCATAACTGGAAGCAAAATAACCAAAAAATTCGGATTCCTCCCCCCAAAAAACATGAAATCCAATAATAAAATTTCATCGACCTCTTAGTGACCGCAGGAGGGGGGTATTGCGTATGGACTATTGAGCGTCTTGACATTCATCAGTTAAAAAAAAATGATTTTCAGCTTGATTCAAGCCGAGTGACTCGGACTAAGCCAATCCGGATTCCGGGTCTGACATAAGTCGAAAAGTGGTTTATTTGAAGTAGAAACGTATGAAGCCGACAATTGGTCTGAATCAAACCGAAAAATTGGCTTGAATCAAATTGAAAAATCGGCTTGAATTAAACCGAAAAACAGAGTGATTCACGCCAAAATTCTGCCGGTTTCATGTAGTAGATAGCAAGTTGATTCAAGTCGATTTTTCGATTTGATTCAAGTTGATTTTTCGGTCTGATTCATGCCGATTTGTCGGTCTGATTCAAGTCAATTTTTCGGTCTGATTCAAGTCGAATTTTGCCTGATTGAAGTCGATTGTTTGGTTTGATTCAAGCCGATTTTTTGGTTTAATTCAAACCGATTTGGAGCTATGGGGCTTCGTCAATGGGGTTTTACATAACGGCATCTTTGTGAAGGACAGGGTACATGGTGGTGGCGAGCGGGAGGGGGTATAGGAATTGAGGTTGTTGAGGGATGTAACAATTTACTAACACTTGCAATATACTTAAATAAATCACAGTTTAATAAAAGACGTTAAGGAATATATACAGAAGTAAAGATACTACGTAGAAGTCGGGTGGTCGACTTGCTGAGTATTTGGGGGTTAGCGCCTGACTGAATTCGTATTCAGATTCGGATCAAATATTATAAAGCTAACGCGCGACGTATTGTATGTGTGTGACTCAGGTACTTGTGTGTCCCGGTCAACCCTGGTCAACGCGAGCCGTTGTGTTTGAATGTAGCGAGTCGCTACAGTGAAGAGGGGGGGTGTACTGAAGTTTCGATATACAACTTTGCCGTAGTTGACTTAGCTTGTCGATGAGTTTTTCAAGGATATCTCCGAAACTAACGGAGATAGCGAATTTTTACTGGAAAATTTGGGGGGGAGGGTGTTCTTGATTTTTTTACTTGTGAATTCTAAATGCACAAACACTCCCCCACCCCCCATTAAAGAAGGGAATTTATATAGCGTTCTACATCTTAGTAACGTCATAGGAAATGATTCGATGCCATTCGGATGGGGTAGTAGGGGAACCGGAATTATTCTCAGTATGAATCCAGAAAATTTTTACTGAAAAAAGTGTATAGTCCAGACCGAAATTTGAAGTGGCGACATTACTAGATACATTACTGGTACTGCAATGACTAATGTCAATTATCTTTAAGTTATGTGTGGATGTTTCAAGGTCCCGGGTTTAAATCCCGATCTGGACCATCTTTTTTTTCCAGGAAGAATATTCTGATTATTCATATTGAGAATAATCCCAGTTGCCCTTCTACCTCATCCAAATCCTATTCAATCATTTGCTATAACGTCACAAAGATGTGGAACGCTATATAAATTCCTTTCTTTAATGTAAAAATTCCAATACAATCGAATTCGCTATCTCCCTTAGATTTGTAGATATCCTTGTTACACTCGCCAACGAGCTAAGTCAACTATGGGAGGGCTGTACATCGAGAATTCTGCACATCCCCCCCCCCGCCCCATGTACGAGGCTGGGGAAGGGAACCTCATTGACAATGTATATCGAGAATTTAGGGACAAATCGGCTTGAATCAAACCGAACAATCGGACTGAATCAAGTCGAAAAATCGACTTGAATCAGACCGATATTTCGGCTTGCATCTGTCAGAGTCCGACTTAATTCATGCCGTCAATTCAACATGAAACACGTCGATTCCCGGCAGATTCAGCTCGATTGGATTCAGACCGATTTTTCGGTCTGCTTCAGACCAACTTTGTTTTTAGTGGAGCCATTGACATTGTGGGTATACGAAGGCACATACATAGAGGCATCTTTTAAAAATATCGCTTATTCACGTTTCATGATATTTCTACGCATTTCCACCCAAATTTAAGAAATCGAAAAAAACCGCGATCACTAAGTTTCCATCCGGAAGCAAAAATAACTCCAATAATTCTCGAAGCATGAGCCTTAAATTTAATAATTTACCACTAACGTCGGTCCCAGAAAAGTAATTACATTTTTGTGATACATTCAAATGTTACAATTTTTTCTCCATGAACTGCTGGAAGAAATTTCAAATTACGAAATCAATACTGTAGCTTAACTTATAGTTATTTAGAATTTGACAAGGCGAATCATTACAAAAATTACAACTTTTTTCTGATCTTTGAATAAAAATCCGTTTGTGAAAAGAACATACTGGTAATTCTCTTCTTTTGTGGACTCCTACTACATTTTACTCGCATTCAATATTTTGAATTTTGCAGGTATGCCGTCTACATTCCGTTGTTCCTACCTGTGATGATACCAGTACTCCTCTCATTGAAGAAAATTAAGCGATACTACTTTCCCGGGAGTTTCTGGCGGACTGGTATTAATTTTTTTTCCAATGTTTTCCATTAATCAAACGAAATATACGAAAGGAGAAACTGTTTTAGATGAAATATATTGTTTGTTTCTTGTATTCTTAATGAATCATTTGAATGAAAAAAGAGGATAATAGAATTTATAAAAGCAATTCGTTGAGTTCACTTTGCATTAAGAAAATTTGGTTGTGGAAAAACATGCTAATGAAGTTGCTACGACAACAATCATGAGCAAAACTGTTTGAAGCATGGCTAGTATTCGCTTTGCACAATGCTAAGGTCTGTAAATATTGAAGGATTCGGGGTTTTTCTTAATCCATCATCTATTTATTGGGGATTCTCACATTTTTTTCAATTGAACGTTTCGTTGGTACAAAATGACGGAAAAATTCATAAAAATTACTCATATTTTGAATATAAGAAACAAAAAAATCATTCATTCACACTGACCGACAGTATTTTAAGTGCTTACTCTCATATACTCTTTCATCATTTCAATTCATGAATTACCATTAGCGTGTTAAGAAACCAATAAAAAACATTTGTACATTCGTATTCCAATCCATCCGCAACCAGTTATAAAGAAAATCATTACAAGGCGTTGAGTTACTTATAATTTAAAGAACATCTATACTCTGAGAAACCGCTCCCTACACTCCTGATTTTTTTCAGTTTTCAATAACGCAAAAGCAAAATTCAACGGCCATATTCAAAAGAACAAAAATGTGTAACCTGAAAATGGCTGTACAAAATGACGATAGGAAACAGGTGCATGAATTTCCTCTATCCCAGTCTTTCCATCAAAAGCTAGAAAGATTTTCCTGAGAGAACGAAAAAAAAATCGATTTCTGACACTCAAACTAATTAGTGGACCAACACATTCAATTGTCCCACTCAGCCAACCAAATTCAATATCAATAATTCAATAATTAAAAATGCTAGTTTTTATATGTTAACCCAGATCTGACAAGATTAATTTTAAAATTCAATGTGATGGTGACGAATTGCAACAGTGTTAAATTATCCGCAAAATACAATAAATCTACAAATTACTGAAGAGATAAACTTGAAAGAGATGAACATTTAAAAAGAACAAAAATTAATAAAAGATGATGATACTCATCTCGTTAAAAGAGGACTCGTCCCGATAGTGCGGTAAACGGGGGCAGTTCATGAATGAATAAGTCCGAGCAACAATAAATTAGTCGTCAAATGAATCTAATCAGTAAAAAAAATAAAATTTTCTTTAAAAAAATGATGAAAGTAAATGATAAGAGATTTTCGTCCACATCAGCAGGGACTTTGAACTAGCTGTATCGTGTGCTGCAGTGCATCAGCGATATTCTGAAATACAGGTACACCTTCGCGCGTCGCATAGTCCGACAGGTACATTCTACCCCGATTATAGTCCTTCACGGCTTGCTCAGTCAGCTGAAAAATAAATGTTAATAATTATTCAATCATGTGTCCAAATATAAATTTGGGAAATAGATGTAGGCAGAATCATTTCATAAATATTCTTTGGATCTTAAATATGTATTTCACAGTCGGGGCCATTGAGTTTTTTATTAGGATAATACTTTTTAAAGAAGTGTAAATAGGACATTTCGACACAAAGTCGGGAATGACGTTCTGCGACTTTTGGACGAGTTTCATACTTTTAATTTTTTAGTCATTTTGGACGCAATGAACCTAGGAAATATATGTTAACTTAGGTAAATGAGCCCAAATAGCTCCTGCCCTCACCCAGTTCGATTTTAGCTATACATATTTAAAAAAACGAGTGGATAATTTCATTTTTTTAATGAGTATAGTTATTATTGCTAACCAATTAGCAATTTGCTTTTGCATGGGTTCTCTGTTTTCGAAATTTTTATTTTACTGCTTCCGATCATCGATTTCGTGTTGTAAAACTATCATTAATTGAAATGTCATCACAATTGTTTCCTATTATTCCGTTTTTCTTTTTGCATCATCCTGCATTCAAACCCTCTTAAATGCCAATTCAGTTTCAGTCAGAGTATAACCCTTTGAAGAAAAAATCCTACCAAACACTGCCAGTGTGATCGGAGTGGGAGAAAGGGCCACCGTAATTAGCCGTTGTGTGTGAAAAATATAAAAATTTTCGAAACTTCATGACAAATTGGATTGGAATTGATACCAATGAATTAAACTTATTGAAGTCTATATTCAGGAGAAAAATCATAAAATTATTTCCTTCTTATGAATAAAATTGGAAAAAATTGAATAAAAGACCACATACATAAATACAAACATCATCTGAAATTCGCATATTCAGAATTCTTTTTAGTTACCCTGACCATATTTAGTTACCCTGATACGAAAAACTGGAAACTTAAATTTGAATGAATACAAATTCGGAAAAAAAATCTCATAAACAATATGCTGTAACTTTATAACGAATTGTGTGATCTCATTATATTTTGATAGAATCAAAAGCCTATCGATATCAATTTTTCAAGTCACGATTCATTCTTTTTCCATAATGATCGTTTGGTTGATTTAAAGTTTAGTCAGGGTTTTATCCAAGTCTAATCAGGATTTCGCCAAGGTTTAATTTGGTGGTAGTTAGGATAGGGGAGGATACGGCAAAATGGACCGCAGAGCAAAAAGAACCACTGACAGGAAATTGATAATTTCTGTTAGTCAACCCACAAATGACTTTGAATTTTTGTTTTTGTTCCGAATGGAAGCAAAAATAAAAATTCAAAGTCATTTGCGGTGTGAGGTGATTAGCAAATCTGATTAAATTGCAGTTCGACGACACTTTTAATCTATAAAACCGCTGTGACGGTTACGATGGAAGAAACTCACTTTTAAGTCAACACATTCAGTGTTCGTGATTTGAAGGAAAGGAAAAAAAAACAAAAATTACCAATTTTCTGTCAGTGGTCCGTTTGGCCCTAGGGGTCCGTTTTGCCCTGCGTTTCGCCCTTCCCTCCCTTATAGTTGAAACTTAACCGGTTAATTGGAATTAAGTGGACATTTAGTCGAGAGCATGAATAAATATGGAAGCTAGTGACCAACCAACATAATAATGGGCGGAAACAACAGTTTAACCGAAATTTCTTATATAAAAAGCTCAAAACATTATTGTACAACTTCATAAGTAATAATGCTATTTTCACCATCTTTGCACTTCGTCGCGGAATCACCAAAACAAACTTTTGGAACCGTAATTTAATTAATATTCCTGACAAGTTTTTCAGTTTATTACGATAACAACTGAAAAAAAATCTTACGAATAATGTGTTGTAATTTAACATGAGTCTTTGGTATCGAGTCTTGGGTGCTGATCGTCAATCGGTCTTAGCCCAGCCTCGGCTAGCTATTGGATTGATAACGTTGGGCCGACATTTATCGCCAAACTTCAGCCGATGATCTGCACCCGTGACCGGCCCAATACTTATTTTTAATAGTTGAAAAAAAAATTAATATGTTATTTCCATATAATTTAATTTGCATTCTTCGGCTGATCCTTCCTAAAGAAGCTGATAACTGCTGATAATGATGAGTGAAAAGTTGGACTCGTCGAGATTCGATCCTGGAACCTTCGAGTTGCTAGGGTTGCTCCTTGACGTTACCCATTCGGCCACTGTAGAGTTATTTGTTACGAAGAAGTTTATCGTCTTCAGTGGACTCTGGTTAGCGTCGACTGTTTTGCGGGATAGGGGAAGCGAATTCGGAGAATTCGACTCTATTTCCCTGCCCCCACTACGCGCTCACGCCGAGCCCGACTTCCGAGAACTGGGAACGATAAAATGAAAAATACTATTTCTTTTCTCTCTCAATTCAACGCTTTATTTTAATGATAAACTTTAGTTCACAGTTTCAACTATAATAGCAATATTCATATAGATTCAGACGATTTTTTTATTATCAATATTTTTAATTTCATTGACTATATTTGATCACAGAAGCTTTGTACCTAACATTCCATAAAACAGATATTTCTTCTGGAGTTAACGAACCATGTGAATCAAAAATGTTAGTCGTTTTCTTTACCTCCCTTCATTATTTGATTTAATCCAATTTCGAATTAATTTTATGCCAACAAAACAAGATCCTCCCCCCATGACAGCCAGAAGTGGACTAAATTTTTTGATCGACAATTCAAATGCAGAATATTTTATTTTTAGTCTTTACTGGAATCGGAAGACAATAGCAATTTGAAGAAAATATTGGAGTGTTTACTCTCCGGCTTGCGTGGGGACAGAGTGGGGGAAGCGCTCGAGCGGCGAGACAAAAAAATTGAGGGGAAGTTCGACACTAACCAATATGCCTCTAACCAGAGTCCACTGTATATATGAATGAAATATTGTAATCTCATATGATTCGCTAATTTTCTATAATGAGGAAAATCAATATTGATGGGGTAAACAGTCTATTTATTAATAATCAATAAATAATGAGTTCAAAGCATTTCTAAGAATGGAAGAGACTGAATTTGTGTTTATCAATATGGAAAATGAAGATCTTTTTTGTCCTAGATGATTTGTAGAGATCAAGAATTTTTCATCTTCCTAATTATTTCCCTTGTTTGATCATTATCATAAGTTGACCTTGTGTATGACCTTATGTTGACCTTAATATCTCCAGTTTGAACCAGATATAAGCCTTATGGAGGATTCTCTGTCTACTCAGCCACCCGTTTCCATCATAGTCTCTAAAAATTCTGAAAAAATCCCAGAATGTTTTTATAACAAAAAAACTTTTTCGTGAATTTTTTTAGATTTTTTGGGCAATTAGGTACATGGATATATTCAGTTTTTAAAAATGAATTGTTTCCTACTGCATTTAATACTCAAAAAATTATTTTTATAATATTTTCATACATGAAATTTGTATTTTTTCCTCAGCTTTCCAATAAAAATATTTTCAGGTTTTTTTGTACCTATTTATGTGCCTTTTTTGCTCAAAAAACCTGAAAAATCTCTCTAAAATGCCGTTTATAGGTCTTCGGGCAATTTTGATTGTCAGAAAAAAAATTGAGAATACTCCTTGTATGTATACAATGCGTAAAAAAAATACACGAAAGTGGGTATTCAATTCCTACACCCTTAAAAAAATTGAAACTTCCTCAATAAATTCATTTCATTCGTAAAATAAATTTGAGCGTTCACTACATTAATATTTTGTTATATTTAGGGATAAAACAATATAATTCAGTAACTATTGACTATAAGACTTCAGTCAACGTCCAACAGGGATGCTTTGTTATTAGAACAAAATGAAATAATCCTTGTCTATGAAGTTTACAACGAAAAATTATGAAAAAAATTAGGGAAACAAAATCTATTCATCGTCAAAATTTTTGAGAAATGCGTTGAATCAGTTAATATTGACTGATTCTATGAATTTCTCTAAAATTTCGAGTAAACTAATTATGGAGATTGATCAATTCTCTCATGCCCACGTAATTGGTCAATTGGGTTAAATTTTTTTTTCAAATTTACGATGAAAAATTAGAAAAACAATATGTATTGTTTTTCTAACTTTTTCCATATTTTTAATTGTAAACTTCATAGACATGGATTATTCAATTCTTTTCCAACAACACAACATCCTTGTTAAATGTTTGGTGAAGTCTCTTCAATCAATAGTTGCTTAGTTATATTGTTTTTTTCCTAAACATAACAAAGTAGTAATGTAGTTAACGCTCGAAGTTATTTCATGAATAAAACTAATTTATTAATCAAGTTTCAATTTTTTTAAGGGTGTAGGAATTGAATACCCACTTTCGTCTATTTTTTTTACGCATTGTATACATACAAGGAGTATTCTCAATTTTTTTTATGACAATTAAAATTGCCCGAAGACCTATAAACGGCATTTTAGAGAGATTTTTCAGGTTTTTTGAGCAAAAAGGGCACATAAATAGGTCAAAAAAATCTGAAAATATTTTTATTGGAAAGCTGAGGAAAAAATACAAATTTCATGTATGAAAATATTATAAGAATAATTTTCTGAGTATTAAATGCAGTAGAAAACAATTCATTTTCAAAAATTGAATATATCCATCTACCTAATTGCCCAAAAAATCTAAAAAAATTCACAAAAAAGTTTTTTTGGTATAAAAACATCCTGGAATTTTTTCAGAATTTTTTGAGACTGTGATGGAAATGGGTGGCTGAGTTGACAGAGAATCCTCCTTATGATCATTTGACCCTTCATATCTGTTTACGTGTTTTCCTGTATGATTCATTCCTTATGATTATTCAACCGTTTACAAAAGCCTTCAACCCTTAAAAGTAGTTTTGCTACTTTGACCCCTATTTGACCTTTAAGACCACCGTGACCCTAGCGAGTGTGTAGCTCGTTGGCTTATTGTGGTTGGGGTCCTGCTAGACAGTGACCCTAATAAGGGCTTAACCCTTGAAATCGATTGACTTTTCTTTCCCATTTGACCT